AATTCCATCGGATAAACAAGCCCGAGGCGACCGCCATTGCTCCCTCTCTGACCACGCCCCCACACATAGCGTCACAAACCAGCGACCTGGGTCTCCCCGTCCTGGTAAACAACTAAGGCTTCTCTCCGCTCACTTAACAGCACGAATAGACCAAAAATGGCTCTAGGACAACTCAGAGCCCCAGAACCGATAGACCTAAGTGATGAAGAAATAGCCAGTCTTTCAGATGCACAGTTCAAAACACTGGTTATCAGGATCCTTACAGAACTGGTAGATTTTAGTCACAAATTAGAGAAACATATGGAAGCTAAACTAATTGAAATAAATGGTGATACAAAGGATGCCAATAGTAATGGAAAGAAAATTGGGACTCAAATCAAGGGAGTGGACCAGAAGGAAGAAAAAAATGATCAAAGAGAAAGGAATGAAGAAATAAGAATTCAGAAAAATGAGGAGAAGCTTAGGAACCTCCAGGACATCTTTAAACATTCCAACATCCGAATTATAGGGGTACCAGAAGGGGGAAAGGCACAGCCACCAGTGGAAAACTTATTTGAACAAATAATAAAGGAGAATTTCCCCAAGATGGCAAAGGAAATAGACTTCCAAGAAATCCAGGAAGCTCAGAGAGTCCCAAAGAAGTTGGACTCAAGAAGGAACACACCAAGGCACATCATAATTACATTAGCCAAGATTCAAATGAAGGAGAGAATCCTAGAAGCAGCAAGAGATAAGGGGACAGTCACCTACAAAGGAGTTTCCATCAGACTGTCAGCTGATTTCTCAAAAGAGACCTTACAGGCAAGAAAGGGCTGGAAAGAGGTATTCCAAGTCATGAAAACCAAAGATCTACAACCAAGATTGCTCTACCCAGCAAAACTTTCATTTAGAATGGAAGGACAGATAAAGTGCTTCTCAGATAAGACCAAATTCAAGGAGTTCATCAGCACCAAGCCCTTATTATATGAAATGTTAAAGGGACTTACCTAAGAAAAAGAAGATAAAAAAGATGAACAGTGAAAGAACAGCAAACTCACAGTTATTAAGAACAACACCTAAAACAAAAGCAAACTAAGAGGACAGCTAGATCAGGAGCAGAACCATAGAAATGAAGATCTCATGGAGGGTTAGTAACAGGGGAGTGGGAGGAGGGGAAGGGGGGAGAAGGTACAGAAAATAAGTAGCATAGACAGTAGATAGAAAATAGATAGGGGGGAGGGTAAGAATAGTAGGGGAAATACAGAATCTAAAGAATTTGAGACACGTGTTCATGAACTAAAGGGGGAAATGGTGGGGGAGGGGTATGCAGGGTGGAGGGGAATGGAGGGGGGAATAGAGCAAATGTAATGGCATAATCAATAAAAAAAAGTTAAAAAAAAAAGAATTTTAATAAGAAGAGCGTCATGATTAGACTTGCAATTAACAGATATTGTTCAATGATATTAATGGAAGGTGGCACAATGAGAGGCCTGGCAAGTGGCTGGCCATGCAAACTGTCAAGGAAAATAGCAAATTCCTGAAATAAAGAAATGGCAAGAGGGTATAAAAGAGACGTATTTAAGAATATTTAGGAGATAAATTAATATATATGGTCGTGAATAAAGAAAGTAAATGAGTAGAAAGACAGTGATAATGCACACTACTACAGTATGTTTAAGACAGGTTGAGAGGTAGGTAACTAAGTCAGTTTGGGAAAAATTAAATTTTGAGATATTTAAGATATACAGGGAGGAACAAAAGTAGGTTTACAGTTGTGAGTACCCAGAGGTTATTCTTATATTTATAGTTGCTAATTATTTTATTATTTTCCATACAAACAACTGTATGGAAAATAATAAAATTTTTCCCCACTCTGTGTTTAGACAGATATGCATATTCAGCAGTTAGGTGTAAAGCTCAAAAAAATTGGGAATATTAATTATTTAAAGGGCAGAAAGATGATGTGCTAGTAAAGGAGAAAGAGGAGTGGCCAAGATGGAAAACAAAGAGAGAACAATATCATTGAACACAGAAGTGTTAAGAAGGGCAGCACTGACAGTATGAAAGACTGCAAAGAAATGAATGAAATATGGACAAGTGTCTGTTAAACTGGTAAATTGGGTTTCCGTGGAGTGATGGAGAAAGTAGTGAAAAGGCAGGAGGTTGAGGGGTAAAAGAACTCTTTTCAGTTATACTTATAACTGGTTTGCCTGCTTTAATGGTTGCACTGGAGCCATGGCAGAGCTCTAGACTAAAGGCAGGAAAAATGGGTATCAAATACCAGTTCCGCCAACTGGTCTCTATGTATGGCCTTGGGAATGTCACTTACACTCTGAGTCCTATCTACAAAATCAGTCTGTAACCACTTACTCTTAGGATTATCTGAGACTAAAGGAGATAAAATATATGAATGGATTTATCTCAAGCCTAGAATAGACATACATTCATTCATTCACCATAACATAATTAGGTATGGTGAATGTATATCATAGGAACCTGACTGAGCTTAAATCACTCTGTTAGTATTATGGCACTTAACTTCAGTAACAAAATCCATTAGTTAACTGACACTTTCACATAAACACATTCAATTCTGCTGTAACACTTGTTTTGAAAACATAAATGTGGTCCAACACAATTGATAATATCAGAGAACAATCTGAGCTTAAGATGGAATTTGCATTTGCTTAGGTGCAAGTTCATCCATGAGAAACACTAGGTCAATGCAGAACTGAGCCATGTAAGAATATACAAAACACAGATAAACACCTAAGACATCAGACCCTTTTCATGAAGATGGTGCCCAAAGCAAAGAGGGAAGCACCTACCCCTCCCAAAGCTGATGCCAAGGTAAAGGCTTCGAAGGCAAAGAAAGCAGTGCTAAAAGGTGTCCACAGCCACACACAAAAAAAGATCTACACGTCAGCCACCCTTCCAGAAGCTTAAGACACCGTAGCTCTGAGGGCAGCCTCAATATCCTCAGAAGAGGGCCCCCAGGAAAAACAGGCTTGACCACTTGCCATCATCAAGTTCTTCCTGACTACAGAGTCAGCCATGAAGAACATAGAAGACAACAATATACTTGTGTTTATTGTGGATGTCAAGGCCAACAAGCACCAGATCAAACAGGCTATGAAGAAGCTGTATGACATTGATGGGGCCAAGTTCAACACCCTGATCAGGCCTGATGGGGAGAAGAAGGTGTATGTTTGACTGGCTCCAGACTGTGATGGTTTGGATGTTGCCAAAAAAAAGTGGAATCATCTAAAGTGCGTCCAGCTGGCTAATTCTAAATATAAAAATTTTATACTAAAAAATAAAAATAAAAAAAAAATAAACACCTAAAACATCTACTAGATACCTCAGTTCACCTCATGTTATGAGCCATACTCATCCATACATGGTTTTACAAATTTCCATCTTATTTTAGATGTATTTCAACCAATATTTGGGACATCATTTTGTATTAATATATTTGTGCTTCTGTATAGTCTGGCCTCTCAGAGAAATGCACTGGCAAATTTAGACAAAGGATTATTAAACAGTAAACATGCCTTGGAAGCTAGAGATAATGTGATACCCCAAAAAGATTTAGAGACTTCCCTTACCTCCAAACTGTAAGAGAATCACTAGGTTCTATTGCCCACTGCCAATAAGAACTGAGACTCCTAATGCCAGAGTCTTATGAAAAGGAAAGCAACTATTTATTCAAAAGTTATAAAGGTTTAGAATAGTGAGGGAATTCTGCCATTAAATCACAAAGTCCCTACAGAAACAAAAGAATAATCACACAGTCCTGCCTCTGCACAGGTGCAGTAAATGGGGGACCTCCTCCAGGGTACATCATGGGTTAGAATCACCCACATCTCCCTGGCTCCAAAGAGTAACAGGCACAGCTACTTAACATTACTAAAACATCGGCCAGTTTCTTTAGATATGCAAAGTAACTCTCAATGGCCCTGCTCTGCTTCCCACCCCCCACAGCCATGTTAGTAGGGGACTGTCCTATATTCCTGGGCACCCCAAGTTCTGAACACCTGTTACAAAAATCACTTATTTCCTTACATACCAGGGTAGTGAAGCTACTTTCCTCTCCCCTCACCAGAGAAAATTTATGTACCTTCCAAAGTGAAGTTTTGTGTGTCTGTGTGTCTGTCTGTCTCTGTCTCTCTCTCTTTTTAGGAGGATAGGCAAATCTGCCAGCAGCCTATAAAACTTTCCTAATTTCTGTGCTTCTCTTTGTGGTGTAATCCCACTGCATGTGAAAGATCCTCAACACATAGCCTTATGGGGGCTGGGGATTGGGAACCAGCACTAAGATGCTCTGTAAGTAAGTAATAAACAGTTTGTCTCTGATCCAGAGATCTCAAGTTTCCTGTTACAATATTTAATATATCTATATATCTATATGTTTATATCTTTAATATCTTTCTTCCATCAATTCACAATAACTCACAAGCTGCAACCCCACTGACACCCACTGCCACGAACAAACTAAAGGTCTTTTTCAAGGTTGAATGCCATATTTACTCTAGTATTTATAGACTTCTTCACCTTTTAACGTTTAAAACTAAGCTACTATTTTTGTTACGTTCCTATCTTTTTAAAATGTGCCATGACAAATTTTCAGTAATTTTTTGTGTGTCATAACAAAAAGTAATGGTGATTTTGTGTTGCATGGTGCTTTTTAAGAAATGCATATACTGTGTAACAGAACTGACTCTATAGTCTGGTAAAGCTTTTACTGGCATACATTAGAATAAGGATTATAACATGTGAAAACTTTAAAGAAGAATTGTAAATTATGTATATATTAATTCATAATAACTCCATCTCCAATTACTGGGAAATGCTAAGAGTTGACCATACTATTATTTTCATTTACCCACAAAATTTACTTTCATTTACTTATTATAAAAAGAACAGTAGAGCTGGTTTTTAAAGTCTGCTTTCTCTAATGTATCAGAATATACTTTCATGTCTATAAAATTTTATAAAAATCAACAAATAAAATGACTCACCACTGGATATAAAACTGTCCTCTCCATCGTTGGTGTCTGGTGTTTCATGCTTCAGAAGAGAACAATCAGGTGATGTTTTATCTAAGAACCCTGTAGGTGGTCTTCCATCATTGTCCGTATACTTTTGAAAATTGAAGTCATGTTCTCTTTGTGGTACCCCACTCTCTACTATCTTTTCCCTAAGAATTTCATTTTCATAATTTTTTATGTTTCTGTTTGATGAGTATACAATCCTAGAAGAAAATATAAAATATTAATAAAAATAATGGTGATTCTTATAAGCTAGTTTCCCATGTGCAGCCTTCATATACAACAATTACATAATTTCAAAACCATTTAAAATCTGGACCAACAGTAAAAAAGTCAACCTAAAATAGCGGAAACCTGAAAAAGTAGCCTATAAAATTTTTGAATGTTTAAAAGGAATATACAATGCCAACACATTAGATAAGCCAGATGATGTGGACAATTCCCAGAAAGGCACACATTACAAAATCTGACTTAAGGAGAAACAGAACACTGAATTAGTAATTGAAATATTCCACAAAGAAAGACCCAGGACAAAGTGACTTCATGGATGAATTCTACCAAATGTTTAAAGAATCAACACCAATCCATCACAAACTTCCAAAGAGAATAAAGCACTTCCCGACTTATTCTTTTTTTTTTATAATAAATTTTATTTAGTTACTTTTCAAGTACATTTTTTTATCCATTTCTCCCATCCCACCACCCCAACCTGTCTCCCCCCTCCCTCCAATTTCCCCTCCCCCAGTCCTCATCCCTGTGTCTTTCATACTTGTTCCTCAAAATCCCTCCCCCTTTTTCCCCTTAAATTCCCTTCCCTCTCCCCTCTGGTCGCTGCCCACTTGTTCTCTATTTCAGTGTCTTTGTTTTTATTCTGTTTGCTTGTTTGTTTTATTCTTTAGCTTCCTGTCAAAGGTGAGATCATATGGTATTTGTCTTTCAATGCCTGACCTATTTCACTCAGCATAATGCTTTCCAGTTCCATCCATGTTGTTGCAAAGGGTAGTAGCTCCTTCTTTCTCTCTGCTGCATAGAATTCCATTGTGTATATGCACCACAATTTTTTGACCCATTCGTTTACTGATGGGCACCTAGGTTGCTTCCAGCTCTTGGCTATTGTAAATTATGCTGCTATGAACATTGTGGTGCATAGGTTCTTTGATATTGATGTTTTAGGATTCTTGGGGTATAATCCCAGCAGTGGAATTGCTGGGTCAAAAGGCAGGTCCATTTTTATTTTTCTGAGAAAATTCCATACTGTTTTCCATAATGGTTGTACCAGTCTGCAATCCCACCAACAGTGAACTAAGGTCCCCTTTTCCCCCACAACCTCTCCAACATTTGTTGTTTGTTGCTTTGTTTATTATAGCCATCCTGACTGGTGTAAAGTGGTATCTCATTGTGGTTTTAATTTGCATCTCTCTGATAGCTAATGATATTGAGCATCTCTTCATGTGTCTCTGGATATTCTGTATGTCCTCTTTAGAGAAGTGTCTGTTCAAGTCCTTTTCCCATTTTTTAATTGGGTTCAATGTCTTCCTAGAGTGGAGTCATGTAAGTTCTTTGTATATTTTGGAGATTAAACCTTTGTCTGAGGTATCATTGGCAAATATGTTTTTCCATACAGTTGGTTGTCTTTTTAATTTAATACTGTTTTCTTTAGCCCTGCAGAAGCTTTTTATTTTGATGAGATCCCATTTGTTTATTCTTTCCTTTATATTCCTACTTCCCGACTTATTCTGTGAGGTCTACATTACCCTGATACAAAAGCAGATGCAGACATTGCAAGAAAAGAAAACCATAGACCAATATTCTTTACTAATACAAATGAAAATATTCTCAACAAAATCATAGCAAACTGAATCCAGCAACATATAAAAAGAATTATATGCCAAGACTAACTGGGGTTTATCTTAGGACATCAGGGGTAGTTCAACATATTAAAACCAATGTTATACATCATATTCTACAGTGTCAATATGTGTCCCACTTCCAAAATTCAAATGTTAAAACTTAATGCTCAGTGTGATGGTATTAGGAGGAGAGGTGATGAGGGCAGAGCCCTCATGAATGGGATTAGTGCCTTTATAAAAGAAGCTCCAGAGAGATCCCTTGCCTCTTTCCACCATGTGAGGGCACAGTGAGAAGTCAGCAGCCTGCAACCCAGAACAGGGCCTTCACCAAAACCCTACCATGCTGGCACTCTGATCTTAGGCTTCCAGCCTCCAGAACTGCAGAAGATAAATTTCTGTTGTTGATAGCCATCTAGTCCGTGTTTTTTTCTTATAGCAGCCTGAATGGACTGAGACACCATATCAATAGAACAAAACCTACATAATCATCTTAATAAACACAAAAAAATGCATTTGACAAAATCCAATATCATATCATGATAAAACACTAAATGAACTAGAAGGGAATATGCTCAATCTGATAAAGGGCATATTTTAAAAAATTATAGCTAACATCATACTTAATGGTGAAAGACTGAAAGTTTTCCTTCTAAGATCAGCAAGGATGTCCGCTCTCACCACTTCTACTCAATATTTCATTGGAGATTCTAGCTGAGGCAATTAGGGAAGAAAAAGAAATAAAAGGCATCTGGATTGAAAAGGAATACATAAAGCTATCTCTATTTACACATGACAAACCTGTATACAGAGGTTAAATTAATCTGGTCAATGACTTGATCATTCACGCCTCCATAAAAACCTTAAAGGATGGGGTCTACAGAGCCTCCAGGCTGGTGAACACATGAAGGTACTGGGAGGGTGGTATGCCCAGAGAGGGCATGGAAGCTCTGTGCCCTTCCCCACATACCTAACTCTGTTCATGTCTTCCATCTGGCTACTCCTGAGTTATATCCTTTTATAATAAAATGGTAATCTAAGTAAGTGAAATGTTTTCTTCAGTTGCATGAGCTGTTCTAGCAAATTAATTGAATATAAGGTAGGAATTGTGGGAACCTCCAAGTTACAGCTAGTTGGCCAGAAGCATAGCTAACAACCTGGGCCTGAGACTGGCCTCTGAAATGGGGAATGGGGAGTGGACTTGTGAGGATGAGCCTTGAACCTGTGGTATATGTTGTCAGAATTTAGTTAAATCTAAAGGACAGCTGGTGTCTGGAGAATCTCAGAACTGCTTGGTGTAGGGAAAACCCCCATACACATCTGGTGACCAGAAGTGTCAGAACTAAAGTTTTCTATGAGTAGAGTATTAAGAGTGGAAGAGACACACAGGAGAGTGTTCTTCCTTTACAGGTGTCCAGATAACCCAATGGGAAAACAATAGCCTCTTCAAAATAATGGTGCTGGGACAACTGGATATCCAAATGTAAAAGAATAAAGTTGGACCCCAGGTTCATACTATATACAAAAATTAACGTAGTCAAGGATCTAAATGTAAGAACTAAAAGTATAAAAGTATAAATCTTTATGACCCTGTATTAGGCAATAGTTCCTTAGACACAACATTAAAAGCACATGTAACGAAAGAAAAGGTAGATAAAATAGAAATTGTAGAAATTTAAATTTTTTATGCTTTTCAGGATTCCGCAAAAAAAGTTAAAAGACAACCCACAGGCCCTGGCTATTGTGGCTCAGTGGATTGAGTGCATGCTGCGAACCAAAGGATTGCCAGTTCAATTCTCAGTCAGCACACATGCCTGGGATGTGGGCCAGGTCCCCAGTAAGGGGCACATAAGAGGAAACCACATATTTATATTTCTGTCCTTCTCTCTCTCTTTCCCTTCCCCTCTCTCTAAAAAATAAATAAATAAATAACCAAACAAGCTTTAAAAATTAAAAAAAAGGCAACCCACAGAATGGGAGAAAACTTTTGCACATAATTTATCTGATAAGAGACTTGTATATAGAATATATAAGAAATTTTGAAAGTAAATATAAAGACAAAAAACCTAATTTTAAAATGGGCAATGCCTCAAAAGTTTACCATATGACCCAGTAATATAACATATGTTGACACAAAAACTTGCACATAATGTTCACAGAATTTTTCGTTACATTAGGTCAAAACTACCCAAATGTCTACCATGAATGGATAAACAAAATATGGTATATCCACATGTACAGAAGAGTTAATATAGCAGTTCCATTATTCTCTGTAAGACTAACAAGGTTAGCCCTTGGCTGGTATCTGAAAACATGATTTCGAGGGTATTCCTAGCATTTTCTAAAGGACAAGGATGGCTCATTATGCCTATAAATAATTGGCTTATACTAAACATCTCCTTTCCTTTGAGGAGTCTGGAATATGAGTATATGTTAGGCAAAGGATACATATGTAACCAACCCCCAATAAAAACCCTGGGTGCTGAGCCTTTAATGAGCTTCCCCGGTAGGCAACATTTCAGAAATGTCACAACTCACTGCTAGGGAAATTAAGCATGTCCTGTATGACTCCACTGGGAAAGGATCCTTGGAAGCTTGTGTCTGGTTTCCTATGGACTTCATGCCATGCGTCTTCTCTCTTTACTTTGTAATAAGTTATTGCCTAGAGTATGACCATATGCTCAGTCCTGTGAGCCCTCATGAAATTGTCAAACCTGAGATGGTCTTGGTGATATTCTCAGCCATAGGAAGGAGAGAGGTACTGATGAACCACCACAATATGGAGGAACCTTGAAAATATACCAAGTTTAAAAAGCCAAACATAAGAGGCCATATGATATATGATGCATATAAGTGTATATGAAATGCCCAGAACAGACAAAACCATAAAAACATAGATTAATGGTTATCAGGAATTAGAGGAGAAGAAAGCGTGGGAAGTGACTGCTCATGAGTATGATGTTTCTTTTTAGGATGATGAAAATATTCTGGAATTAGACAGTGATGATTGTTGCACAACACTGTGAATACAGTAGACCCTTGAATAGCCTAGGTTTAAATTAGTGTTTAAATTAGAATTTAAATGGACCTGTGTGGTTCAAACCTCCATTGTTCAAGGGTCAACTGTATTCTAAAACCACTGAATGATACATTTTAAAAGAGTGGATTTTATAATATGTGAATATCTCAATTTTTAAAAAGGAGAATGGAATTGAGTGTGATAGGATAACTCTTGAGATCTGATGTGAGAGGGACCAGAGCATTAGGGTATTAGCTGGTAGAGTATTAGCTAGAGGGGAAGTGGGGTAAGAAAGTTTTGTTCTTTTAGGTGAGGCTATGAATATGATGTTTATATG